GTGAGTGAGTATGTGCGAAAAGGAGAAATAGGAGAAGAATAATATAATTTACAATTGATCAGTTTCGTAATGGAAATGAAAGTTGAATAATAATATAAATAAATAGAAATCACTTAGGAGCAGTAATTGATAGGCATGGATAAGAAAAAACCGATAATGACACCAAAAGCTGATTAGGTATACCAATAGATAGTTTCTCCACTCACCCACCTTAAAAAAAAAAAGCTTAAATCCCAATAATGACAAGTTGATAGATATGACTTGCTCTCTATTCCATCTAACTTTGGATTTCAATGAAGTGATTTTATGTCATCATTTGATGCAACTCATTCTTACAATTCATTGTGTGATTGGCTGCAGAGGTGAAACTGATTTTTCTTGCCTGAACACCCAACACCCAACAACAAAAGGTATATTGCTATTTATTGAAAACTACCTCTGCAGCAGAGGTTTCTCACCACTACACTAGCAGCTGGTGATGGTCGGTACAGTTGAATAGTGAAAAACATCATTTTGTACATATTTTGCTAGTTAGTTATAGCACTGATATTTTGGTGACATTGCAATAAATGCACACTAACTCAAAAACAATTCTACATATATAAATACAGCTGTTGACATATGCCTCATTTTTAATGTATCAGTTCTTTTCAAACAAATCTTTGCCTGTTTTATCAACAGGTTTTGAACAAAGTGCTTTTTGATCTTTTTTGCAGAGTCAGAAGTTTTGAAATAAAGTATTGTCATGCCTCCATGGGATGATTGTCAAATTTTGACAAGTATACTTTCAGGGCTTCTTAACATGCCATGTTTGAACAGAAGTTTTTATTCCTTTGTTTTTCTTTTGAAAAAAATCACATTTCAGTACAACAAATATTACATTTAACACTTGTTTAGGTGTACACTATGAGTTTTATAGTTTTGATTTATATCAATAGACTTCAGATTTCTGTAATCCAAAAGAAATGTGATGAAAAACAGCAATACTTAACATGGTGAGCTTGTGTCCTTGCTTTCTCACAGGGAAATCCTATATATATATATATATATATATATATATATATATATATATATATATATATATATATATATATATTTAAATAAATTTTTTATGGTACAGAATTTAATAATAGCTAGGAAAAGGTAAAATTTATATGGCATTTTTTGAAAAGTAAAAAGAACAACCGCTTTTGTCCCAGCTGGGATGAAACTGGTTGTTCTTTTTTTTTTTTTTTTTTTAAAATGCCATATAAATTTTGCCTTTTCCTATATATATATATATATATATATATATATATATATATATATATATATATATATATATGCACAGTGGAGTAATGGATAATGGCTCAAATTGAGGAATCAGAGGGCTGAGTTCAAATTCCAGTAGAGTTTATTACATTCAGTTCCGTGCTAATATCCTTGGGAAAGGTATGAATCCAACCATTCTCACTCCTGCTAAGGATAGACTGGGTTCTATAGCCTTGGATGGCAACTGGTCTAGGAGAAGGAATACTCTGAATTCAAAATGTGCAGAGGGTCATTTGGAGACCTTATGTCATACTATGCCCCTGTTCTCAGTATTCATCTTTTCAAAAAGTGTAGTTGGTTTTGCACAAGCTTTCACCACCATAACCAAATGATATGTGTGGGTAGTTTGACTACCCACACTAAGAATTCAGCTGCTTGACCCTATTATTATAGTATTATATGTGCAGAAACAATTTAGAATCATAATCTAAGATAGATCAGTAGAAAAATATATAAGAAGGTAGAAAATATATAAAGGAAGTGAGTTATAAATTTAAAAGTTTAGCAAGATTGCAATGTTACATTTGGAGATATATATATATTGCACCTGAAGATTGCAAATGGCATGAGACTGAGTTGTGCAATCAACTTAGGGTATTTTATATATATATATATATATATATATATATATATATATATATATATATATATATATATATATATATATTGTAAATTCTCCCATTATTATTGCTAGTATTATACAGTATCAGATAAATTGATTTATATCCATACTTATTCTATAAGTTATACAAGTCGACAATAGGTCAAAATTCGATTATAAAAATGTATATTGACATTCCATACTTTATATGTCTTTTTACTTATAACTTAAACTCTGAAGTAAAATTTATTGTAAAAATCCCAAATAACTTATGTAATAAACTTACCAAAACATTTTCCACTTAAATGACTATTTATTAATTTACATACTACGTTTATTCCAGAACACATAACAGAAACTCCAGCATAAATCAGCCTAATTCAGCTCTGGTTTTGATTTAAGATCTCCGACACTTCATCAGTAAAAAAGTGTCTTCAATTACCACCATGGCCTTCCCCTATACTTATTCCTCCTTTCTCCTTCATTGTTTTTCCTCTTTCCACCTTTCCCTTTCTCTCCTCTTCTTCCTGGGAGTTTTGGCATACTTTGCTTAGTGTTCTAACTCTTGTATGGCATCAAAATCTGTAGCTGAATACTTCCACTTTGTTTTAAACTTTTAGGGTCAGGCCCATGTATTAATACCTCAACATTCCTTCACCACCCAAATTGCTATCAACAAATAATTTTGTCTTACTCTATCACCTTCTTTTCTCCCTTTTCTTTACCCCTTTCCATTTCCTCTTAAGGTGTTTCTACCTATGTTTTTTCTTTTTTCATAAGTGGCTTGCTTGTAAATAGAATTGTTCATAACCGTTTTTGGTTCTCACCAGTCTAGATGCAGCCACATCGAAACAAGAATGCATCTTTATAGTGACCAAGTTGTTTTTGTCCATATGTAAAAATTATAATAAATATTTATATATGTATATATAAGGACCTTGAATAAGATCTCGCTGATTTTTCATGAAAGGTAATGTTTTATTGAAAAATGTCACTGAAAGTATTGTCCATCACTAGCCACTACTTTTTCCCATCTTTCTGGCATCATTTGAATTCCATGTTGGAAAAATGACACATCTTTTGAGGCTAACCATGAGTCTACACATTTTTTGGCATCTTCGTAAGAATGAAAGTGCTGTTCAGCCAGGGTATATGTCATCAATCAGAACAAGTGATAATTGGACAGGGAAATGTTTAGTGAATATGGCAAGTGGGCTAGGACTTCCCATTTAAGTAGATTTATGCCCATTTTGCAACATGCAGCCTAGTGTTGTCATGTTGCAAAATCACTTTGTTGTGACTCTGCTCATATAGTGGCCATTTTTTCTTCAATGATTGGCTCAAACACACCAGTTGTAGCCAATAGTGATCTTCCATGATGGTTTCAGTGGGTGTGAGCAGCTCATAATAAACTACAGCCAGCTGATCCCAGCAAATGCACAGTAAAAGATTCAGATCATGGATATTTGGCTTTGCTGCCAAAATTGTTGCATGGCCAGGCTTACCCCACAATGTTCTATGTTTAGGGTTATCATAGTGTATACACTTTTCATCGCCAGTCATGATACAATGCAAAAAAAAAACTTTCTTTTTCTGCCATTGAAGCAGCTGTTCACACATGACAAGATGCCATTCAGTTTCTTCGCTTCAACTCATATGGCAGCCAATGCCCTTGCTTTTGAATCATTCCTAATGCTTTCAAACATTTCAATACTGTTGTGTGATCAACTAATGATTCTGCAAGTTCAGCTTATGCCTGACATAAGTCTTAATGAAGTAATGCCTACAATTCTTTGTCTTCAAACTTTTTGTGTGCACCTGAGTGTACTTTATCTTCAACATCAAAATCATTAATTTTAAAGTGTCTAAACCAATCTCTGCATGTTGCTTCCAACAGAGCATGGTCACTGTAAGTCTCAGCAAGAATTCCGTGTGATTCAGCTGCAGATTTCTTTTGAAAAAAGTAGTGCAGTAAAATTCACCACAAATACACTTTCTTTGGCACAAAGTCCAACAGGTTGCTTAGACTTCATCGAAAGGACATACACTGAATTTCAAACTTGCTTATAGCACTTCCTAATAGATGCGTTATCATCTGAAACTATATGCATACATCTGGGAATGCCATCTTTTGAAAAACAGCAAGAACTTATTCAAGGTACTAATATATATATATATATATATATATATATATAGTATTAAACAAATCAATGTCTGAGTTTAATGAGGTGGAAAAATGTGTATATATATATATATATATATATATATATATATATATATATTAGTGTATTGGGGCAGCAGATCATTATATAAATATATTATTAAATATAACAGATAATGAATGTCTATTATGTCTAATTTTATTACATTTCAAACTAGTCACAACACATTACATTGCATCTAGACATTAGTTCTGTTGTAATACTTCGGCCTATCATGAGGTATGACTTCATAGAACAGTATCTTGAACTTATGATCTGTGTTTGCTATTCTGTGACTGTTAACATCATATAGCAATCTTCTATGTCAACATAACAAAACACAATCTTTTGTTTCATGTCTGTATAACCGATCTGTGGATGACTCTTGCAAGCCAAAGCTTAGGAGCAACTTAATAAAAAAATATCCAAATGTTGGACAGTTTTTGTCTTTATTTCACCAGAAATTTAAAGCAAACATTCAAACATTAAAATGGCTCATGATCAGACATAATAGACATTCACTTTCTGTTATATTTAATATATATATATATATATATATATATATATATATATATATAGCAATTTTCAAGCATAACTTAGATGTGGCACAAAGCCAAAAGTGTGGGGCACCTGGTGAGAAACGAACTCACTACTCAGTCGTAATTGTTCTAGCAAGACAAGCTTGCTAATCATTACACCACCTCGAGGTGCCCTATTAATTTTCCAAGCATAGCTTAGATGTAGAACAAGGCTGAAAGTAGGGGCACCCAACTATATATATATATATATATATATATATGTATGTATGTATGTATGTATGTATGTTATGTCATACTTTTGAAAATTGGTCAGTTCAATAATTTTTCAAACCTCCACTATTGCCATCT